AGGCGGCCTGTTCACACCACCCCTGCTACGCTTGGCAATCAGACTATGAACCGCCTGCGGAATTTGAAAAATGGAGAAATGAAGTCTCCATGTTTACACATGTTTAAAACTAATTCTTACTACATAGATCCTTTGGTTTCAACTCCAGAGGCCCCAAAACAAGAGTGACCTCACCCCAACAGTTCCCTTTACCCAGAATGGGCCCTGTTCTGGCAGACACTTCCTCAGCAACTGCTCCTCACTCTGGGGAACCACCGTACCCCTAAGCAGCCTCAATGGACAGGCCCTAATATGACCCCACAACTAGCCTTTGAAAAACCTTAAACATTCTTTGGCAGAACAAACTCTGGGCTGCAGGCCAAACCCCACACAGCAGCAACTCTCCTTCACAGCGGGCCAGTCCAAACCTCATCGTCTAGATGTCCCAGGTGGGAGTCACGTAGACACGGGACTCCCAGACCCCCAACCTCTCTCTCAGTGGTGGGACTGAGCCCCTCCTCCTACATTTTCAGCGAGAAACAGGGCTTCTGACCCCATTTCTTTGGTGGGAAAGGGACACACAGCACAGCTTCAGCTCTTTCCAAAGAGATCCACTTGAAAGATCATCTCTCGAGCTTCTCTTTCTTGACTCTCTTACGCTCTTAGCTGCATTAGCTGAAACTTGCGATTTTAACGAGAAGCTCTTGATAGCCAAATTAAATCGACTTTTTGACAGCCGAGGCACATGGGACGAGGAAGGTCCTCGTAAGCAGCTTACGTGCATTTGTGTTGTCTTTGGCTTATATTTCCTGCCTTTGAAAGGGTTACTGAGATGTACTCTGTAAATTAAGAGATTCACAGAATGTCAAAAGGACTTCAGCAATTATCGACTTCAGCTTTACAGAGGAGTGATCTGATGTCCAGTAAGAATGATCACGAAATATACGACGAAAGGAACTAATCTGAGTATTTTCTATATTATAAGTAGCGAAGAATATGAATGCATTTGGCAGGACCGACTTCCATGTGACACCACATAACCCATGGTGCCGGACGCTGCAGGTGACGCTCCTCCCGTGACTCCCTCCTGCCCTGCAAAGACTAGAAGGCTAAAAACGTCGTTTCTAAGACGTCCTTGCAGTTAGGGCTTAGATGCGATTTAAGCTTTTCCAGAGAGACAGACATCTGGTCTTGGAAGGCAAAGGGAAGCAGAGGCCAAATTTCGGTGACTCTGTTGACGAGCAAGTGTGGATCTAACAGTTTCCACCACCCGGGTCCCATCCTTCAGAGACGTCCCTGGTGGCAATGGCAGTCTTGTGCTCCTTGAGTCGCAGCTCCAGGGCTTTGACTTTACGAGGCCTGAGGCAGCAACCCCCGTCCGCTGTCCAGACCTTCCGTCCACGTAGGCACATAATTCCCTGCACTATCTCGCTAATTGTTTTCTCTTTTTTTTTGCGAAATACAATGTTTTTTTGCTTCCTGTACTCAATTACGAGGAATACGCATATCAATCATAATATAAAATCTTAAGGACGGAAGGATGTTCACTGAGCCACAAGTCTATCGTCAGTCAGCAAGACCCCCAGACTGCTACCCCGCAAATATCTCTCGGTCCGGTCTCCATCGCCCATCCCCCTGCACTGACTCCTCTGACTCGGGCCTCGGCCTCCAGGTTTTAGTAGCCTTGGTTCTGGTCACTGTTCACTGTAGCTTCCATCCGAATCTGGTCTTTCCTGATCTCGTCAATTCCTTGTTCAAAATCCTCGAGTGGATCACAACAACCTACAGGACGGTACCCAGACTCTTGGGAGCAGCACTTCAATGTCCGTTAGGATCCGGGCTCCGAGTGTTTCATTCATCTTCTGCCGATTCCAACCACGGAGGAGAGACTGTTCCATGATGTGATCACTGTCGGACCCTCGAGCTGGACCCAGGACAGAACAGAGATTGCCTCCTGTCAACTCCCTCGGAGACATTCAGATCATAATCGATGCTTCTCACATAAGCCAGTTCCTCTCCCCTGTGTCCCACGGCGTGCTGGTTCCTGGACAGGCCATTGTCCTGGCTGCGTCAAGCACGGAAGGTATTTTCCCATACCTGGGACGGCCCACCCACCCCTCTCCCGCCACCCCGTCCATCCTGCCTTGTTCGCTATGATCCTTCGGTGCCTGCCAAGCCGTGCAGAGAACGTCCACTTCCTCTTGCAGCTTCCCGAGACTCACCCGCTCTGAAAGGTCTCTTAATAAACTCTGATCACTGCCACACTAGAGCGTGGCCTCCTTCTTCGAACTTTCCTGCCCCCCGCTTTCGGAGGTGGGTTTTCGGTCTCGGGCCCTTCCCCGGGTCTGCGTGAACACCTTACGTTCAGCAACACTGAACGGACTGTCCTCTGCCTCTGCTGGGCATTTACCTGCATTTTGCTTTTTGGCTGTCGTGCATTCCTTGCCTGTCATCTACCTGGCAAGCATCGAGTCTGCCTTCAAGACTCAGCTCTCCACTCACTTCCGCCCGAAGCCTCTCTTATTCTTCTCCCAGGCGGACTTACACGTTTCTTCCTGACCACCGGCTCTGACTGACGCACACGTCCACTGTCATATTGATCGCCTCTCTCTCCACGAGGCTGTACGTTTCTGTATGGAAAGCACTGTGTCTGCTCATGATTGAACCTCTAAGAGACTACTAAGATGCGTGACATATGGTAGGCACCTGGGGAAGCGGAAGAAACGGGGGAGGGGGGAGAGAGGGTGGGGTACTGAGGCAGGATGGGCAGATATAGACATGGGAGAGAGGCCAAGACAAGTGACTTCGCAATTCTGTCCTTTGACTTCACCGGTTTTACAGACGCATCATCTCCGAGCGTTAGCTCCGCTCCTCAAATCAGACCTCTTAACTTCCAGACAATTGAGCTTTTTTTTTCTTAAACTGTTGGTACAAAAAAAATCTTTCCTTGTAGACCAGGTGCAGAGCCTTTGTCTACATATTCTATAGTTCCACAGCAAAAAATACCTAAAAGAACCATTGTTCTTTTAATCTCCCAGGGGTTCACCTTACAGCTCCAGTGACCATATCAGTCACTGCTTTATTTTTTGGAGCCAGGACCAGGGACCTGATTCTTGCCCTCCCCTCAACCCTTCCCCCGTTCTCTCCCTACCCACTCTCAGTCCTCCTCCCTAGATTTTACCGGGGCTCTCCACCATAAAAAAAAATACAAAAAAAAGAGGAATTTTTACTTTAAGAATAACTCCTCCCCTTTCCCCAACTTTCACTTCAAAAGACATTGGGGAAAGCTGTTCTCTCCACATTGAGAGAACTAATTGCTGGTTCTCTGTCGATTACGAGTAAGACCCCTTGGAGCCGAGCATCCAAAGTGCGTGGGGGTGATGTGGTCCCATGGATTGCACGCGGAGGCTTGAGTTCTAGTTCTGACTCCTTTTTTTCTTAGCCCTGAGACCTTGAAGAAGTACTTTCTAGTCTCTTTGGGGTGACGGTTGCTTTCTTTGTAATTGAGAGCACTGGATGGATGATCTTCAAGGACCTTGCTATTCTAGCACTCACTGATTTTGCTGTTTTTGGCACCTCGAATAACTAAAAGAACCCAAATTTAGAATCTTATGACAGCAAAAGTGGTTTAAAAATAAGCATAAGCTGTGTATAATGTGTATCTCTGTTTTCTTCTGTTAAGGCGAGAATCTTTAAATCTCTGCTGATTATTTCCACTGAGAAATTTTAAGCATTCAAGAACCTCTCTCCGGGCCCTCCTGCGGGAGACCATGGGGAAGAAGGTGGCCATCATCGGAGCTGGAATCAGTGGCTTGGCCTCCATACGGTGCTGTCTGGAGGAGGGGCTGGAGCCCACCTGCTTTGAAAGGAGCAACGATGTTGGAGGCCTGTGGAAATTCTCGGTGAGTGGCACCGCACTGGGACACCAACAGAGGGAAGATGGCCTCTTTGGCAAAATAGATCTGATCGGTTCTAATTCAGACTTGGAGGTAGGTCACGAAAGTTGCAGATCTGGAAAGCAAAATATTATCCCTCCCAAACCACTAATGTCCAACCACTCAAAACTTTTCACACCAGCGGGGCTTCTCCTGGAAAGGATATCTCCAGCTTATTAGATACTGTCGCCAGCCTGACAGAGCCCAGACCTCCGGGCCGTAGTGTGATGTCAGTAATTAGTCAAAAACTGCACCACTGCCTCCGCATGCAATCGACAGGGTTCTGTCCCTATTGATCTTAAATCCTGGGAACATAGCGGGAAAGAAGAAGGAAAACCTAGACTGGGGTCAGGAGTCCTGAGTTCTAGTCTCAACTCTCAGGTTTTCCGGGGAGATTTTAGGCAAGCCACCTTTTTCCTGGACTTCAAATGCTCGTGTGTCAAATGTGCCTTTCAATTCTAACGGGTCGCGATGCCAGAATTAACTCGTGTCTCTTGGGCAGACGTTGTAAGTTGTTATATGTAAGGATTATGTGTATCGTGTGTGTGGTTACTGAATACTCTGTGAGCTCCAAATCCAGAGGCAGGGGGCAGCGGGGGAAGATAGTCTCTGCCATTCAGGCTCATTGTTATAGAAATAATGTAATCAGGAAATATTCATTACAAACACAATTTTTACATTTCAGACGTTAATTTAAAACGTCTAGCCTTTCTGCTATGAATTTCCCAGCGATTATTATTGGATGTAGCTGATACATGTTTGGCGTGAAGACACATCCACATCATTCATCTCGTTATGATATTCTGTCCTGGTCTCTGTTACAGCCCAACCTGCAACCACAGGTTGCTCTAATGGAGGGTGTCAGCGCTGAGAACTCACCTGTATTCATCTCGAGAGCTTTTATTTTAAAAAAAAATCGAGGTCCTACATCCCTGAAAGTATTACATAAGATATAAGATCATTAATTTTTATTTTTCATTAGGGAATAATCAAGAGGGTTGTTTTGTTTTGTTTTATTTTAAGAATTCAGTTTTCTTTATTTACATCTGCTCAGGGAGATACAGCCAGCTTAGCCTAAACCATGAAATGGTTCTCTGTTATCTCATTAGCAACAATCAAATGCCGCGTGAGCATCTATTTTGGCAGAGTCGTGTACTAGGTACTAGGATGGCTCAGACGTGACACCATCACTCGACGTAAATGGCTTCTACTCCATCTAGTGAAGCAAACCATCGTATAGGTCCACAATCCTTAGATAGAAAACGGGCTAAAGCTCACTTAATAGCAAAACCTGTCCTGAAGTCACATGGTCAGAAAACGTGAGTCGAAGCCACAAGACTATTTATCGTCTTTATTGTGTCTCACTGCAGAAACGTCACTGCATTTGATTGCAGGTAGGGTGCTGCCCAAAATCTCACTAGGAGTGTTATGGAAAAATGTCCCAAAAGCTACCATTTCCAAAACGTATCTGGCCCTAAGAGTTTCAAATAAGAGGGGATAGAGCTTTACAACAACAAGGTAGCCCTTGGTGACTGTCAACTTAATGAACACGTGCCTTGACCTTTAAAAGAAGGCAGACTGCAAATCTCAGGTCAGGGGAAACTTCCGGCAGGAATGGCACTTGGCTGAGACCCAAAGCACGTCCTCGGACAAGGAGAGTAGGGGTCTCTATGGGACACACCTGCAGAGCTGCCATTTCCGCCCGCCCCGTGCACTGTGTGAATGACATCCCGCAGACGTGCAGTCACCAGCAGGGCGCCGGTGCCAGCTGGGAGGGGTGTCCAGGTAGGGGTAACCAGCAACCCATGAAGGGCATAGAGAAGGCAACGAACTCGGTCTCTCCTGGGGTCTGTAAGAGAGAGAGCCGGTGCAGCCAGATCGGACAGTTTATTTAAAGAAGCAACGGTTGACAGGGCGATAAGACGCAAAGTCCAACTGTAGGTTATTCCAGAGAGAGGGCGTCTCTTTTCCATAATGTTGCTGTGTCTGAGGAGAATTATACCTAAGGCCTTGCGGGGATGAAACACATGCAAGTATTCTAACCTTTAGTCCCTTTCACACGCCCCTCCTCTTCCTTCTTTTCAAAGAAAAGCTGCTTGGCACAATGTATGATCAGAGAGGGATTTTTGAAAAATAGGTTACATAAGCTTTTGTCTTGCAAGTCCTGTGAGGCAGAACCTGTTCCAGAAGAGAGACACATGATAATTCTGAACTTTTCACCATGTGCTTTTCCTGTAAGAGGAAAAGCAAACACTTGCGGGCTGAATATAAGTTTTACGTTTCATACATTCTAATAGGACCTCGTGGCCTCAAAAGGTTTTAATCTGCTATGATAATAGGCTGCTCAACAAGCCGTATACAATAGGTTGGGATCATTTTGACTGCGAATAAGGGTAAACAGAACGATCTGGACTTTTGTTCTACTTATTTATTCTTCTCATGCATTCATTTATTCATTCAGCAAATACGTATTCGGGTACATTATGTATGGGGTGCTGTGTGAGGTATAGATGCAGATAAGAGGCAAAGCAGGCAGCCCCCAGTTTAGAAGCAGAGAGGAAACAAGTACCAGAATAACTTTACTACAAGTGAAGACGTGACTAGGGCGGTGAAGACGGTCAGAGCATGGTGGGGAGGAGAGAACTTCCGGTTGATGAGGGCACCACGAGGGGAAGCAGGAGGGAGGAGGAGGCAGCCTCTGAGCTGGACCTTGAGGGTATACGGAGACCAGCAGAAACGAGACTGATAAGCGAAGATGAAATACGAGAGGAGATCAAGGCGTGCACAGCGTTTGCAAACTAGCCTCCGACCCTGCCCTCAAGATACTTATGTTCTAGCAGCGAAGATGAGACACAGATGCAGTTATAACCATAGACAGATGGTGACAGTGTGCCCTCAGCCACTTGGAGCTCTGGGTCTAGGGCAAGCTCTCCGAGCCAGAGGCAGAGTCTGAGCTTAATTTCTTCCTTACTGGCTCAAACCACCCCAAGATTGAAATAATGAAAATGCAGGGTCTCTGGAGTTGTCTGTTGTCATACATCTGTTTCTTTTTTTTTTTTTTTTTTTGAGAACAGCCTTTTAGGGGGGAAAAAAACCCCCAGCAAAACAGAAACAAGGAGCTGTAGGATACATAGTCTTCTCTCATGTCCAGGGGACAAAAGGCAGAGTTCATCAATGATTCGATGATGGAAATAATCCAAGGGCAGGCTCGTCCATGTCTGAACCGGTCCCCCGGCTACAGCTCAGCCCTCTCTCCCTTCCCCGCTCTCCTCCCCTCGACCATCAGGGAAAGTTCCTGGCTCTGGGTGAACGGCGGGGTGGAGTGGGGGGACTCCAACCTGAGCACCTGCCAGGCATGAAGGCTTCACCCTCTGTCTGACCTTGGCAGAAATTTCCAAGTCAGGTTTAAAAAGTTAAAATCTCTGGACTTAGCTATTCTAAGAGGTACAGCAATCATGAGTAAAGGAAGTTTATTTTCAGCTTGAGGTTTAAAACACCGAAGCCTCAGGCAGCTTCCCCGAGAGACACGCTCCTCCCATTTCTCTCCAGTACTTTTTGCCTCCGATTTCCAGAGGTCAGCTGGGGCTGGAGAGAGACGGACATGGTGAATCCAGCGGCAACATGACATCATCATCATGGGCATTCTTTCAGGATGTGGGGAAGCAGAGGCTGCCAGCTTTCGAATGTACTTTCTAGGCAGCACATGGCGTGAACTTTAGTCCTGCCCTTGCGACAGAGAGGAAATGGTGATTTTCAATCAAGCCTCCCACTGCTTTTCAAAAGAAGCTATTTTTCAATTATACAGTGGCTTTAACATGAAGAGCAGAATCTTCAGCCCCTCTCTGGTGAGGGGTGTACACCTCTAACTGGTAACACAAGGAGCCCCTCAAGCACAGAATTCAGTTCCCCATACATGGTCCCTAGACCAGCAGCAACAGTGTCCCCTGGCACTTGTAAACGCAAATTCTCAGGCTTCAACCCAGAGAATCAGAATTTGTGGGGTCAGGCCCAGGAAGCTATGGCCTGAGGAGCCCTTCGGGTGAGTCTGAGCACGCCAAAGTCGGGAAGCCACGCCAAGAGAAGGCTCCGCGGCTGTGGCGGGGGACAGTGAACGCCACAGAGCCAGCCACAGGGGCTGGAGGCTGCAGCCTCTCCTTCCGACCATTTACTTGTCCCTTTGTTTTTCCAACCTGAGCGTGAGGTCAGGACCAGTGCTCTGATTGGAAAAAGAAAGAAAACTCTGTGGGACTAAAATCACGGAGGAAATCCTGAGGGTCACTGGAATAAGAGGCCCAAGGCGGACAGCAGCCAGCTCTGTGCCAGGAGCCGCACTGAAGGCTTTTCTGTCCGTATCGTACAGAGACCTGCTCATTTTCTTCATGGGTCTTTGGGTTTCGTTTTGGTTTTTTTTTTAAAGCTTCTCGTCCACCAAGCATTGAATATTGACTGGGGGGAACACCATCCTTGGCTTCCTTCCTAAGCCTGTTATTCTCCCTAGGACCACGCAGAAGAAGGCAGAGCCAGCATTTACCCGTCTGTGTTCACCAACTCTTCCAAAGAGATGATGTGCTTCCCAGACTTCCCGTACCCCGACGATTACCCCAACTTCATGCACCACAGCAAGATCCAGGAATACATAGAGGCTTTTGCCCAAAAGAAGAATCTCTTAAGATATATTCGGTTTGAGGTAAGGGCCTCCAAATATCTGTGCCGTTGGTACCCGGATGCGTACGGGTCAGAAAGGCAGCAAGGACACAGCACTTCATGACAGAAACCAGAGCCAGGTGGCGAGACGCCTCCCCCATCGGAGGCGAGGCGTTGGTTCGGATTATAAAGTACTCACGCATTGGGGTTTTTGTCCCTAAATAAATTCCCCACGAGGGTCTGAGGGCTTTCAAGACTCCATAGAAAATGCTGGAGGCAACCATGCTCTCACGGTGTGCTTTCTACCCTGACGCTCTCACATTTTAGGAGCAATCCCAGAGTCTCTGGTCCATATTTAGACTTCGTGTCAATGAGTTGTGGGTCATGAAAACGTGGTATTCCTTACAAGTTCTTCCATGATGAAGAGTAGCAACTTAAATAAATGGTTAAGACGGTATTTTCTCTCATCTTTCATCCACTTAGCTCCTTAGATTAGGAGCCTTAGAAATGATGGTATAGCGGCATCATCTCCATAAATAACAATAATGCTTCACCATTGTTTAGAACTCTTAACATCAGTTCATTATTGTTAAATACAAAGCACATATACTTACAAAGATAATCGGCAAAAGTGTGAATTGGGATTATATGGAATTCTATTTATTATGTCAAAATAATAAATAAAATCATAAAATTATATTATAAATTTATAAA